TCACGGGGGGCTGGGTTGGTTTGTTGAGAGAGATCACAAGGGACTAAAATATCCACAAAAACGTAACAACATAATACCTGAAATAAACAAATAATGTCAAATAAATGAATAGAAGAAAGAATGGGTGGCAACATCATGGAATCAAACATATCAATGCATATGAGTTAAGTCGAGGCACCTTAACTGGGCCACGAAAGTGGGTCCGGGAAGTTTCTGTGGGATGTATTTAAAAACCATGATTGTTGTTAAAATAGTGGCCATGGGACAGGCGCACGACAGAAAACACTCGGCCACCAGGAAATGGCGATGGGGTGGCTTGGTTTTATGTGGTTGTGGCAGGCACACCAACACCTGAAAAGGCAGGCTGCTTCTGACAGGCCATGGCAAAGGAGGTCACGCCTCGTCAAGAGACTGATGGAATGCATGCAGGTGAATGGTTTGGTATTCTGGACACCCAGCCCCACCACACAACGAATAACTCCAAAACAAAAAAATAAAAAGAGAAAGGGATGGCTGGGTCGTGCAAACCCAACTCAAACCTATGCCCTAGAAAGGCTCATCAAACACACCTTTTACAAGTCTAAGAATACGAGGTTTGGACTGCACATGACCCCAACCCAAAAACTATCTTTGTAAAAGCATAAGGCCCACCAACCTGAACCCACCCCATCGCATAAATAACATTAATGAAGCACTCCGAACCCCCACTAGTTTGACAAGAAGACGACAGAAAGGCGCGTTCAGACAAGAGTATGTTGCAAAATCGCACGGAGCTGGACACACCCCCAGCCCACTCACAGGCCATTTCAGCCCAGACCACTGCACTGAGATGGATTCAGCACCCACATACCCCTAGCCCCCAGCAAGTAATCACAGCCCTTTCTGGCAACCACGACACCAAGAAGATCCAGCCAGCACCAGAGTGGTACAATAAGGAATCCCCCGCAACCGGTCACAGCCTATCCTCCAATCCACAACAAGCGACTATGCCATCTACGGGGCCTACCTACACCTTGCGTCATTTTCATTTTTTTCTTTATTTCCATCTTTCCCAAGTATGAATATACTATCCAATTTTTTCAACCCTATCCCGCCTCCACCTACCCTCGCGGACGGTAGCGTATCACATGTTTGTCGGCCCGATTGTTGATTATCCCCCCCCCACCAACTATCACAGCATCAGCAACCTCCGTACTATGCATAAAGCCAAGCCTCCCCCCCCCAACACGTTGGCATCAAGATTACCACCCCACTCCCAGTTGAGCTAGGACAACCAAGAATTTTTGCAAACCCCCCTCTACTAATGTAGCCGAACCATCTTACAAAAAGGGCAGAGAAAGAGATGTAAGAGTTCATAAGTTCCTTTGGGGAGAGATCAAGACAGACTGGAAGAATTGGCCACAGCTAGATTATAGAGTTGACGACAGTTTCAAGTAGGAGATTACATATTAGGACCACTCATTCCTATAGGCCAAGGCCCCTCCGCGCAATAGCAACGAGGATTAATGCACAAATTGGCTCCTCCAAAGTACTATGGTCCTTTTCCTGAGATGGATACACGTCCAGGGCCAGTGCTTACCGTTACGTTCAAGCACTTCTCAAATGCACAATGTATACCAATGTTTGTAGTCCAGAAAGAACATTGGTGATGTACAAAGTTGCCTCAGTTTGTCTAGCCCATATTACTGAATTTCTTAATTCGCAAAAGAACCGAAAGCCATCTTGAGTAACCTTTGTAACAGGAAGGAGATGGGTAGTACCGGAGGAAGGCGTAGGACTCCTAACGTACTTGTTTGCAGAGGAACAAAAAAAAAATCAGAGTCCTAAGAGTCAAGATTTGCAACTTGGCAATAGTTACTTTGACTCTTCCCGAAAAATTCCACAATTTTTCTAATCCTTGAGGAGAGGGATTTCTAAGGGGTCATGTAGAAGTTAGTATGTAGCCCTTTTCAGTAGTTCGTAGGTGAGTAGTTTATGCCAAATATAGTTAGCGGCCGTATGACTTGCTAACATAGTTAAGTAAGTAACTCGTATAAATAGGAGTTGCGAACATAACGGGAAGCCTCTTCTTTAACGGTTTGTCTTCTTTCAGCAGTTCTAGAGCCGATTTCAATAGCCTCTGCTTAGACTCGAGCCTTTATTCCTAGATTCTATTACGAATCCACGAATAATTTATCAGGTCCGTAATTAAAAGAAAGTCTCGCAGTCTTATTACGTATTAATAGACAGGCCTATCCTAAGAATTCATGAGATCAATCTCGGCTCAAATAGTCCATAGACTTTCATCTATTAAAGAACACTTAAATGCCCAGGAGCCGTTACTATACATTTCCGCAAAAATTACATCCATTACAATCCATTAACAAGCCCCTCTACATTTCCACCCACCCACACATCTTCGGATCCCGTGATGAAAACCAAACGCTATCTACGGAAAGTCCCCATCTCCCACCCCCCTCCCACCACCTCACCACCCCCCCCCCCCCACCACCCAAAACAAACCCATAAACGCAGCACAAATAACCCTCGAGCCCACATACCCCTAACTCCCCACATTGAGCTCAACCAACAATGGCACAAACAAAACAAATTAAAACCCTAAACCAAAACAATTGCAGAAACCAAAGCCACAAACCTAAATACAGTCCAGTTGAGTGAAAAGAAGAAGAGTGGAACCTGAAAAAAACAGCGATGGCGACAAAACTGCTCGAGTTTAAGGTGTGAGCTGATGCCAAGCTTTTTGATACAGATCTGCGAGCGAATTGTACCAATCGGCGAGCTCAGGTGCGAATCCGCAACGATTCAAGTATGCCAGAGCAGCCATAGCGATTCACGCGAGAAAGAACCCCCAAGAATACGAAATAGAGAACTATCTGGTGTGTGTCGCTTATTTCGTTGTGGAGTTATATTTATCTTCTGTGTTTTAAATTTAACATTTACCTTTTCTTCTTTTGTTTTCCCTTTCTTATATTATTTTCCAAGAAATAAATCCATCCTCTTTTTTTATAATTTAACCAATTATATTATAATATAATTAATTGTTGTTGCAATTTATACATAATGAATTGTGACATTTTGACAGCATAATTTACTTTTATACATGCATATATCAATTATTTGAATTTATAAAATAGATTCTTATCAACCTTTATTTTTATTTAAAATTAACTAAATTGAACCAATAAACTCATTGTTGAATAATCAATTCAAACAAATAAATAACAAAACCGATGAACATTGTAATCAAAGTGAAGAAGGAACCTCTCTTCGAACTAGAAACTTACACATGCTTTGAAACTTTGCAAGTTATGATAAACAAGTGTGTAAATATATAGGGTATAAAATTAGTTTAGTAATAAAAAAAATAGAGAGATTAAGAATTTAACTTTTCTACTAATATTAATATTTAAAAAATATAACATTAATTTAGTACAAAATATTAAAAAATTTCTTAATTTTAAAGCAAATTAAAATATTACATAAAAAACCATAATATATATATATATATATATTAATGTATTAGTACAAGTAGGTTAAATAATCTCAATTAAACTAATATCAATTTATTATTAAATTTTAAACGAATCTAAAGTGTATTTTAAGTTAAAAGATAAATTTTAAGTTTAACTCAATTACATCTATTTTTAATAAATTATATATTTGTTAACAGATAAAATTTTATTAAAAAAGTAAATATAAAAGAATCACAAAACATAAAAATTATACAATATTATGAAAAAACTAAACCATTAAAACATTTATAACGTACTTTATAAATAAAAGTCCAAGTAATTTATTATTACAATGGTTTACTCAAAAAGTTTGAACAGTAAATGTTCACAAAATTGCAAACAAGGCACCATCGTCCTTTAAAACTCCAAAATAACCCCAAAAAATGCATAAGTTAGTTTCATCAAGAGCAAGATTCTGACACTGATCTGTTAGGAGATGAAAGCAAAGGTTTTGGTGGCATTTCCAAGGAATTCATGCTGTTTTCCAACATGTCAATTACTCTACTCATCGTTGGTCTGTCATTTGGAAAGGTTTGAATACACCAAAGACCCACAATGGTCAATCTCTTTGCTACTTCATTCTCTTCAGGGGTCATCACTTCATCGAATCTGAAATCATTGAACAACTGAAGTCTCTTATGTATCCAATTCGGAAAATATATCTCACTAGTGTGGCTAGCTTCACCATTAATGTTTTTCCTTCCTCCTACCATTTCTAGCAACATCATTCCATAACTATAAACATCAGACTTGTGTGAAACTCCTGCGAAATGTCTGTTCAACACTTCTGGAGCTACATACCCCATAGTTCCTCTGACATCAGACATAGAAATGATGCTTTCATTTCTAGGACAAAGTTTTGCCAACCCAAAATCAGATATCTTAGGACAAAACTTCTCATCCAAAAGGATGTTGTGAGGCTTTATGTCAAAATGTAAAATTCGAGTTTTGCATCCTCTGTGCAAGTATTCTAACCCCTGAGCTATACCCATTGAGATTTGATATATAATATCCCAACTCAAGAGTGCAATGTTTTCAGGTTCTCTATAAATGAATTTGTCAAGGGAACCGTTTGACATAAATTCATAAACGAGAGCCCTCTTGCGGCCTTCCAGACAGAATCCAAGAAGAGTGACAATATTAACGTGAGAAGTTCTACTGATGCTTGCAACCTCGTTGATGAATTCTTCACCATTCTTTTTTGTTTCGTTTAACATCTTTATAGCTACGTGACTACCATTGGATAGCTTTCCTTGGTACACTGCACCAAAACCTCCTTGTCCTAGTTTAACTTTGAAGTTGCTTGTCATTTTCTTGACCTCTGATAAGCTATACCTTTGTATAGTTAGAGCAGCATGATTTTTAAGGAATGCTTCAATATTTTGGTTACTTTTTGTAGTCAACCCAAAATGTTCTTGCCACAACGATGACTTGTATCTCAAACACAGAATGGCCAAACATATCAGCAATACAACAATCGCTGCACTTGTAGCACCTGTTGGCAAATTGATGCAGTAGGAGCATCAATGAACATTTGATTTATATACAGTATTTCTGATAGGACAGTACAAGAAAACCATACCTTGGAAAATTTGTCAGAAAAAAAAAAAAAGGAGTAACTAAGAAAATTATTTTGTCAGATATGTGTTTTTTATGTATGGAAATTACTTTATTAAGCAGGTATTATATTAGACAGTTATATGTGCTTTAGTGATATATGTACTAGGCCTCTGTTTTGTGGGTGTGTAAATTATAGTGTCCTAATTATAGTGTCCTAATTAGATGTGACAAACTGTAAGTATCCATTTCAAATTCATAAGAAAAAAGCAATAAGCATCATCTAATATGAAGGGCAATAGATAAGAGATATTAAACATGTTTTGGATATTAAAGAACCAGTAAAAGCAGAAGTAAAAAGATGTGACAAATTATAGTGTCCTAATTAGATGTGACAAACTGTAAGTATCCATTTCAAATTCATAAGAAAAAAGCAATAAGCATCATCTAATATGAAGGGCAATAGATAAGAGATATTAAACATGTTTTGGATATTAAAGAACCAGTAAAAGCAGAAGTAAAAAGATGTGACATTTATTACCTATAATAATGAGTTTCCTCTTTTTGTTCCTTTTATTTCCTGCAACAGAATAGTGAGAGCAAAGAGGAGGACATTAGAACATTGTTAACAATCGTCTTAAAATGTTATTCAGATAGAAAAACAGAATGTGCATGATCATATTTCAGTATCCTTGTGTTTTACTACATAAGAAAATCATCTTGGCCAATAAGAAGTTAAAAGAGAACGAAAAAAAAGTGTAATTTATCCTACATTTTTATATTGTTAAAGTTGAAATGTGTTAAGACATGTATCATAGGATTCCCTAACAAGAAAATAGGAAGTGGTGATATAAGAGACGATTTGTGTTCTTTTGTAGAGATTAAGAGGTGATGGTGGAATTGAGAGATTCATGTTAATGTGTCATCCCACTTCAATGAAAAGATTTGAGAGTGAAACAAGTGTTTTTACATGAATATCCTTCCTATCACAGTTGGAATGGCATACATGGAGGCTAGCGGGGAATCGGATCTGTCACAATTGGCACTGATTCCATGTGCTTGAAGAAAGAAATAAAACTTGTTTTGTGATAGTTGGAACTGATTCCAAGGGTGAGGAAATCAGTTTCATTGTGCTTGAAATTTGTTCTGTGATGGTTGGAACTGTTTCCAGGTGTGAGAATTGATCTCTTTTATATCTTTACTTATTTCAATTAATACTATTTTTAAATTTTATTA